TGTCAACCTGCACTGCACAAAAGCAGGAATAGCAAGCTCGGCGAAGTGTACTCAGATGAAGCCATTGCACGTCATGTTGGTGTCGTCTTGAGATGTTGCAAGCCAACGTCTTGAGTATCACTGGCATTGGGGCTTTGTCTTCCCCACCAACCTTTGCTGGTTGTGGCATAGAGAAGCCTGGTTTCTCAGGCAGCTTAGCCAGCTTGTGGCAGACGAACTACATTCCAGTTTCAGCATGTCAAGCAGGAGCACTGCGAAGAATGTTCTTGGCTTGTTTGTGCGATTTTGTTGAGTTGATTCTGCACATAACTCTTTAATTTTCCTCCCTGAAAGCCGGCAAGCGACCTACGTCAAGTGGGTGGATGATTATCAAAGCACAATGGGCATGTGCGCATAAAGAAGTGTAATGTTCAATTGCCTGCTCTCTCTCTCTCTCTCTGTATATTTGGAGGCCATCGCTTCTAGGTTGGAAACCATCGCAAGTAGGTTGTTCTGATGGCATCTCACTTATAATAAGCCTACAAATTCGCCCTGCTTGTGCTCTACATAATTCGCCCTGCGTGAGCAGAACCCTCAGTCACCAATCTTCTTTCAAAAACACTACTGGCATGTTTTACATGAATTTTGGATGATAGCTCTTCTGGAGCGATTGCACATGCATGCATATGCAGGTCTTGCATGGTCTTGCGGTATGAATTCCAAGCCAATTGGAAGCTACGGATCGTTCCGCTTCGCCCGACGACACACACGACACGTCGCAGCGATCCACGCCGTCGCGATCCACGGTGGAGCGATCCACGCCGTCCACAGCGTCGATGGTCGTCCGAGTGGCAACGATGGTCGGTCTCTGACGTCGATCGGCGACCGGGACACACAGAGTGGTCAGGAACGAGAGATAAAGGACACATGATGCACTAGAACGACTTCCCCTCCGTCAGGTCAGGAGTCAACAGTCATATAGTAGGACCACATTAAACTATAGTTTGAATGGGAAGAATCCGTCAGATTCGTAGTGTAGAAAGCATCTCCAAGCAGCGGATTCTACACAAAGTGCTTTGGACAGCCAAATGATTCAGTTAACATGGCACGGTAAGATCGGCTCATGGCCTCACCCTTAGTCTCATAGCGCCACCCAAAGCGACAAGCTAAGTGAGCATGCAAAGTGTCCTCAGAAATGAGTCGGAACTCAGTTGATGCCTTGCAGTACGCTGAATGACCAGCGAAAGAGAGGTCACAACTGCAACACACCATGTGTACACTGTGGATGCGCACCTGGAGTGTCCAAAGAGAGCTCCCAACTTCCTAGTCACGCTTCGGGATGTACAAGGTGTACATTTTCGACGAGCTCCAAGAGCATTGGCTGTCCTTGCGGTTCTTGAGAAGCATATGGCCACTTTCACTTCCAGCCTCTATAGTCTCTGGCAAAGGGAAAGCACCAAGTTCGTTGAGTGCCACTTGCGGAATTTGAATCTCAAGGATGCAAAATCCATCAAAATCACCCTGCGTGCTTCGCACTCGGGGTATTCTTCTCCGTTCAGATCTGGAAAGAAAGCAGCAAGGTCCAAGTGACCCAAGAGGGGCATGTCCAGAAACTGTTCATGTATTGGGATGACACTTCAAGAGGATCTGCGTTTTCGCAGGAAAAGCACAGATTAA